TTAGATGTATTTTCTAAAGAATAATCCAAAATGCTATTAACTGTTAAATATTTGAAATGGAAGTGATAAACCTTGATAGGTCTATTGTACACCAAAGTTACTTAAGTGATTAATTTTGTCAGAATAATGATTTTAATGGTTAGATGAAGTATGTTGAAAGAAAATATTTACTACAAATAAAAGCTAATATTTTAACTTTCTTTCTTTTTTTTTTCTGGTAGAGAAGGTCTCTCTATGTTGCCCAGGCTGATCTTCAACTCCTGGCCCCAAGCAATCCTTCTGCCTCAGCCTACCATAGGTTTTAGAGATAGAAATAATAAACACCCATTTATCTTCAGATTAACGCTATAGCAAATAAACTATTAGCTTTATTTGAATTAACTTTTCTGAGAGAGGCGAGCTAGACCTCCATATATCTTTCTTTTCACCTGTTCTATTTGAAATTATATAATGTTGAGTTTTCTCCAGCTTTTAAGTGATGTCACCATACCCTTTTTATAATCACATGAATCTTAAAATACCTGCTTCCTCTATTTTCTTTTGCAGCATTCTTCTTGGCCTGAGAATTTCTTTACAAGTTTCATCTGTTAAAAAAGAGAGAGAGCAGTAAGAAGAAAAAAGGGGGCTAAAATCTCAAGAACACTTCCATGAAATTTAAAATATTCATGAGTCACTCATTCAATAATTATTGAGGGCTGCTTCAAATTAGGAATTAGGCACCACATATCTAATTTGACTTGTTTTATCTTAGCTGAGCTCATGATCTAGTGTTATGTAGTTTAACTTGCTTTTATCTGAATTTAGTTTTGAACCCTGTAACTTTTTTGATCCATTGACTATAGAGAAATACTCAAGCATTTAGCATAATTTTTTTGTTGGGCATGCTATTTTCATTATTTGCTCTTTGTGCTACATGATCATAAATGTAAATATCAATACTATAATATCATGCAAAATTATAAACAATCTTGAAACCATAAAAAGGTAATTAAGATATGATTCCTGCCCTTAATGAGCTCACAGTACAACAGGTAAGACAGACATACAACTAAGTCTAAGACTGTGCAGTGGCATACTGCTGTCATATTACTTGTGAATAGATCTAGTCCCTACAACATCCCCCCTGTTAAAGGAGGGAGGAATGATTAATTCTGCATGTGGAAGACGTCTCATAGAGGAGATGATTACCATGATAGCTTCTCCAGCCTAATAAAGAAAAAAGCAGTGCCAATGAGTAAAGGCCCAAAGGTATAAAATAGCACAGTGCCACTCAAGAACTACACTGGTTCTGTATAGCTTAAACAAAAGGGAAGGCACAGCAGGGTAAGAGATAGCTGGATACAGCTACGGATAGCTGGAGGAGAAGGTTAGGGAAGGCTTTCAGGACAACACTAAAGAATCTGTATTTTATACTGAAGACCAATGAAAAATTATATGAGGGTTACATAGTCATGGCATTCTAAAATCAGCAAAGAGAATATTCTGGAAGAGGGACAAAAATCAGGTCTAGGAGGCAAATGATCAATGCACATTTCAGTTATAAAAATGCCAAGCATTTTACCATTTCCTTGGGAGTCATCTGCATTTGCGTTTGTGAGGAAGGTGAGTCCAGCTAGATGGAACACATCTGCATTGTTGTGGCCACCTCCTGCCCCACAGCCTAGATCACTCTTCTCTAAAACTTGAAATACCTGTTCAGAAAGACAAAATGTTGAGGCTTTTCAGATTTGTTCATTCCTGGAAACAACCAAAGGTACTAGTTGTTACATGGTTACAACAAACCAGTGAAATACACAGGTGATTCATTTAACAAATGACCAAAGACCAAATTTCTCCATTTTGTTTCTAAGTTTGTCTTTTTGTATTTATGAATTTAAATACACATCTATTCAAAATTAAATATAGAACTAAGTTTTGTTGTTGTTGTTTCATTTTTTTTTTTTTTTGAGATAGTCTCATTTTGTCACCCTGGGTAGAGTGCCATGGCATCACAGCTCACAGCAACCTCAAACTATTGGGCTTAAGTAATACTCTTGGCTCAGCCTCCCAAGTAATTGAGACTACAGGTTGCCTGCCCTGACAATTTTTTTGAAATGGGGTCTTGCTCTTGCTCAGGCTGGTCTCAAACTCCTGAGCTCAAGTAATCCCCTGCCTTGGCCTCCCAGAGTGCTAAGATTACAGGCGTGAGCCACTGGGTCTGACAAAATTAAGTTTAAGCAAATAGCTTTGACAACGAGTTTTTTAGAAACTGAACTATGGTGTTTTGTACATAGAATACATGCTCTAATCAAGGTAATATCATAAGTAAATACATACATACATATAGACATGAAGGAGTGAATTAACAAATAAATTATTATTTTTTTTTTAAGAGAAAGAGTCTTGCTCTGTTGTCCTGGCTAGAGTGCAGTGGCATCATCATAGCTCACTGAAACCTGAAACTCCTGTGCGTAAGCAGCCCTCCTACCTCAGCCCCTGGAGTAGCTGGGACTGCAGGCATGTGCCACCATGCCTGCCTACCTTTTTCTCTATTTTGCTTTTTTTTTTTTTTTTGGTGTATGTGTGTGAGGTGAGGGGAGTCTCATTCTTGTTCAAGCCGGTCTTGAATCCCTCAGCTAAAATGATCTTCCCACTTCAGCCTCCCAGAGTGTTACAATTATAGGCGTGAGCCACTGCACCTTGACCAAATGAATTTTTAAGTTAAAAAACAAAACAAAACAACCTCTTGGGTTTGGGGGGAGGAGGGCTCTAGGTTCTATATAGGCAAGAACTTGTTTAGGGGCTTGCTCCAGTTTTAATTTTGACCCCCAAATATCCTTTTCTCTATGAATGTGTTTAAACTTACAGTTTCTCAGTTCTTTCTTCCTTGTGCAAAGAATTCAAATGTAAAAAATAATAATAGCTAAGCATCGTGGAGATCAATAGGAACTTAAAATAACTGAATAATTTTCAGATTCTTCTTTGTCATAAATTTTAATGGGAGCAAAACAACAGCAACAACAAAAAGAAGCCCAAATGTGACCTATCAAGTCTTCCCTGGTGCAGCTACTATTGATAATATACCCACCCTTTCACTAACACAAACCCAACCCCCAAACTCTCTCAACTGATGACCTTTTTTTTTTTGAGACGGAGCCTCAAGCTATCCCCCTGGGTAGAGTGGCATGGCATCATGCTCACAGCAACCTCCAACTCCTGGGCTCAAGCGAGTCTCCTGTCTCAGCCTCCCAAGTAGC